ATAATGGTGTAGGGGTGTCTTGGTATGACCCTACAGTGGAAAGGGATGCCCTTGGTGGCTGTGATAATGGCGTAGGGGTGTCTTGGTATGCCCCTACATTTGGAAATGGATGCCCTGGGTGGCTATGTTAATGTTTATGTTATTTATACTATGTTATATGGTTATATGGATGTATTCTGTAAAATGGTTTAGGTCATTGTCTTGGTGTAAAGTTATGTTAATTGGGGGGATGTCTTCCTAATCGTTGTTGACAATGACCTTTTAAATTTATATTTTACTATTTATATATTTAATAAAGCCGTGGAATATTTTGCCAAAATTCATGTGTCTGTAATTCTTGAAGGTCTCTAATTGGTTATAACAGGAATAGGCCAAAAAGACGATGATGCGCATGTCATGTATGTTTACAAGTCAAGGAGCCACGTCATATCTGAAGCAATGTTCATAATTATCTGCAGGTCTTTCTGAAATATTTATACTGCCTATAGTCCAATTTCCTTGTAGACCATAGTGATTGAGCCACTGTTTATTTGATGTGTCAGAATAACTATTTTGGGTTATTTTTATCATATAAAATCAAAGACTTCACTTACTGTGGAGTCTGCAAGTTAAATCATCTAAACCCCAATTATGAGAACAACACCATAAAATGCTGCTATTTGCTACAGCAAAATCCACACTCACAGAAAATGTACAAATTCAGCATTCTTAGTCTTCAAATTGTAAAACAGATCAACAAAGCCACATCGTGTTCTAAGGGTGATGTCCTCAACCTGCCCCACGTTACCCCTTACTATACACTTAAAGAGACCCAAACCGCACCATATGTGATAAGTTACATAAAAGCGAAAGCATCGTCTCATTGTCTGCCCTCGTACCACAGAAAGCAATATTGAAGTGTCTTAATTTAGGGAGAATTCTGAATGTCTTAAACAGCGTAGAACGTAATGTAACCCATTCTGTGGAATGCAATAACTGTGTTATATGTGGTCCTCAAAGCATCAAAGGGCGATGGTTAAAGTGGTTATTACAAAATAAACTATAGAAAACCACAGAATTGCTCACACCCGTTAAATATTAATCATAGACGAACGTGTGGCGTGTAGTTTACATTCTGCTGAAATCATTTAAGATAAAATACATATTTATATTTATATAGCGAGAGAGAGACAGAGAAAGGGAGAGAGCTATATACACAGTTAATGCATTAAAATACTTATGGCTGCAGTTTTAAAATATTGTGTCTCTAGTTGTTACTAAATGAAAGTTCAGTGAATCTTTGCAGGTTAACATTCAAACTATATGGCAAAGATTCATGGGAGTTGTAGTCCACTAACTATCAGAACGACATAGGCATTAATTTAATATTTCTGGATGAGATTTTCAAATGCTTTAATATTTTGGGATAAACTTTTTCAATAATTTTTTTCAAACTGAAAAATATCAAAATATTGTATCAGTGTGTATGGAAACGTTTATTCAAATATAATAAATCGAGTTCCTTGTTAGCTAGAGTATTGTCTCCCCAAAAAAGTAATATAATACTGACACGGCCATCATGAAAAAAATGGTTTCCTTTTCAATCAGATATTAACTCGCTTTAGAAGATTGTATTTCCTGCTCTGTAAATTCAACTTGAATCACATACAGGAGGCTATTGCAGGTTGTAGAAGGCTATTAGCAGAGCAGGAGCTAAGAAATTCTAAATTAAACAGACTGTGTAAAAAAGGAAGTTTAACCATAAGATCTCTTCTTACGGAAAGTGTTCAGGAAAGCTGTGCAAGTCACAGCCAGGGGAGGTGTGACAAGGGGGCATGAACAGAAACACAAGTATTTAACTCCTAGACCGCAGAGAATTGGGCAGTGATACTGCAGGGGCATGATGTATACACCAGAACTGCTTCATTAAGCTACAGTTGTTTTGGTGCCTACAGTGTCTCTTTAAAGGACCACTCCACAGCCAAAAAGCACTTCAAGTAGTATCCTAGTTTAACCCCAGTTGATAAAAGTGCAGATTTCTATGATTATTATTATTATTAGTATTATTGCCATTTATATAGCACCAACAGATTCTGTAGCGCTTTACAATGTTATGAGAGGGGGATGTAACTATAAATAGGACAATTACAAAAAACCTATAGGATCGATAGGTTGGAGAGGACCCTGCTCAAACGAGCTTACAGTCTATAGGAGGTGGGGTGTAAAACACAATAGGACAGAAATTTGCATTTAAATAAGGTGGGCTGCCCTGTAGGAGAGAGCAAGAGACAGGTATGTGAGGTAGAGGTTAATCTGCGAGGCCATAAGCTTTCGTAAAGAGATGGGTTTTAAGGCACTTCTCAAAGGATGCAAGACTAGGGGAGAGTCTGATGGCGGTAGGCATGCTATTCCACAGGATTTAGCTGCGATTAGGTCATTAGTAATTTTGATAAGTGCAATCTCAGTAAGGTGGAGAGGGCAGAAGCCAGATTGAAGAGGGTCAAGGAGAGAGCTGGAATTGAGGAAGTGAGACAAACGGGTAAAGACAAGTCTTTCCAGAAGCTTTGAGGAAAAAGGGAGCAGGGATATAGGACGATAGTTACAGGGTGATGATGGGTCAAGAGATGTTTTTTTCAGGATAGGTACTACAGTGGCATGTTTAAAGTCAGCAGGGACAATGCCAGAAGAGAGAGAGCAGTTGAAGATGTGCGTTAAGGAAGGCACGAGACAAGTGGAGAGAGATCTAATAAGGTGAGATGGGACAGGATCGTGCGGGCAAGTGGTGGGGCGAGAGGAAAAGAGAAGAGCAGCCACCTCTTGGTCAGTAGCCGGGGAGAACGTCTGAAGGGTAGGAAAGGCATGATCTATGTGCGGTTGAGAAAAGGAATGGCAAGGAGGGGAGAATTCTTTCCTTAGCTGTTCAATCTTGTCAGTAAAGTAACATGCAAAGCTAAGGTTAGTTTGGGGGGTGGCCACAGCAGGGCGAAGTAGAGAATTAAAGGTGTCAAAAAGACGCCTGGGATTACGGGAGCATGAACTAATGAGGAAAAGTAGGACTGTTTGGTGAGGGCAAGGGCTGCACTGTATGAACACAATATGAATCTATAATGGAGAAAGTCTGACTGGGTACGAGACTTCCTCCAGGAACGTTCAGCACAACGGGAGCATTTTTGCAGGTAGCGTGATTTGATTTAGTATGCCACAGTTGGGGGCGAGTCCTCCGTGAGGTGCTTGTTTGGAGCGGTGCTGCAGCGTTCAAGGCAGAGGTGAGGGTAGTGTTATATGTAGAGATGGCCAGTGAGGGACAGGAGAGGGAAGGGATGGATAGCAGTTGTAAATCAATGTCAGCTGACAGCTGCTGGAGATCAAGATAATGAAGGTCCCTCCTGAGTTGAGGACTCCTCAACTTAGGAGGGACCTTAGTTCTCTTGATCACCCGCAGCTGTCAGCTGACATTGATTCACAACTGCTATCCATCCCTACCCTCTCCTGTCCCTCACTGATAAATCAGCACTTTTATAAATTAACTAGGAAACACCCCCTGGATGTCAATCAAACAGCCAGTGATGTTTGCAGCCTCAGTCCTTTAGCTCCCCTGAGCTAACGGAAGTGGCAAGCACGCTCTACTTGAGCGTGACTACCTTCTCCTTCCACACAGGCCTCACGTGTGCACCAATTCAGAGGCCTGTTAATGAGAAGCCTATGGTTATTTTCCTGTTCTAGGAAAAAGAGGGACAACTTGCTAAGGCTGTAGTTCATAAGATCTGTAGTCTTTGCAAGCTATTTTAAGATCTACCCCAATGAATACATGTACAATTAAAAATGAATGCATATATTCATTGCGGGTATATCTACTAAAGAGGCAAGTTGAGGAATATGGAGCTGTGTTGCATGTTGCTACAAGTACAGGATTTCCTCCTTGTACTAATTCCCCCTCAGTGTCACATTCTACCCTCACATCTTATTAAAGGTGTCCCTTTGAGTTCTCCTTCACCATTCAGCACTTCTCCAGGGTCTCAAATCTCAATATAAATTT